AAAAGAGATATTTTGCAGCACCTAAATAAAAGTGCTGTTACGTTTGAGCCTGGAACTTCTCTGTACACGCTAATGGACTATTGCAAAACGATAAGCCAGCCGTTTCATAATAATGCAATATTCCCTGCGCCTCAACAAAAAAAATGGCCCCATCTATGCAAGCACACGGATGTGTTTGAACCTTTTCACAGCAGACTTTCATGGTTTTAAGCAAACCAGTGTGAGCAGAGTCATTTAATATAGCTTCTGGGAACCCCAGATGCCCTTTTCCAAAACGACTTCATTCCCAGAATCTCATTGTGCTTTCTAAATCACACCACAGTATGTATTAGAAGATCATTAATTACAAACTTAACAAGTCAGCAGAGCCATTAAAAGATCTTTAAGGCATATTTGACCATAAATCTCCTTAAACTATATTTAATGACTGGATTTTTGTGAAATATTTTTTATCAAGTTCTAATTAGATGTGTGATAACAAACCCTGCTGTACATGGGGCAAATGAGGGAGCCGTGACAGGCCCATCCATTGAGCCTGTCCACGTCTGGACACTGAAACTAATGGAGCACTGCTTCTATCTCAGGGATGGATAGAAAGCAATGAGGGATGAGACTCCAGAGTCCAGTCTGGCCTGCAAATGCAAAGCCATTTAAAGTCTCTTATTTGACTGTAATAAAGGTCCAAAAAATGCCCGAGGGCCTCAAGGCTGGAGTCAAAAATTCCATTAGGATTTATACAGGATTGATCCTCAAATACTTAATGGCACCGTCGCACCAGGATCAATCATGTTTTGCTACTAAACCTGGATCGTCTAATTGAATAAAAGTGACTGAATGGCGTGAAAGCCTTTAATCCAGATGTGCTTTTTGACACTGAGTCGTACTCCACAACGTCTGACTATATCTACAACTGGAAATACTTGTTGTGCCTGTCATTTGTTTAGAAATAGAAACTGACACTTTCTGGAATAATGCAAAAAATGTGAAAACAACAAGATCTACATAACAAACCATCCAAACTTTACTAATCCAAACTAGGAAGCAACGTTTGAGATGTGAAGAGAAAGCAACCTTTTTCGCATTTCAAGAGATTTGGATTAAATTTTCTTTTTTAACACAAAACACATTATTTCTTGCTTTTATATTTTAGCACAGGATTTGCACCGTAGTATTTTGTGCCAGTGCTTCGCTTCACTCGTGCAGTATCCACCCAAGACATGCTGCCATGTCAATATGGAAAACGTACATATAGGTTAATATGAGCACAGAAGCACTAAACTATATGCCATTCATTTATTATGAGGTAATCAGGTGCTTCTTTGTATCAAGACTTGCTAGCAGTAGTTTGAGAATGTCTGTACAGGCATTAGATGTAAATACTACAGTTCTCCCTGTGAACTTTCCCTCTCTCTCTCTGTATGTTTCGCCTTTTGCTGACCAGGGGAATTAAGAAGCAAAACGTGGGTTTTAAGAGCGTTCCTTTCATGTCTTGATGCAAGCTTTGGCATTACTTCAGACATCAAGATCGGTTTCATAGAAATCCCATTCCATCTAAAGTAAAAGCTCGGCAGTAAATCTGCCCATACCTCCCCCATAACACTTCCATAAATGATTCATTCAGCTCAGTTTAGCTGATGCAAAACAGAATGTTAGTGAATTGTGGATGGAGCCCGAGCTGCAAGTGGAGGACAAACCCAGCTGCTTAGCAATTTCATCAATCTTTGGAGAGAGAAAGGAGAAAGAAGCGAACGCTGTACACTAATAATAACTTTTGTGTCACTATCCAGAGGTCGTGTTTTTTAATCCCTCAGCCTAAAGAATTGTGTTATTCTAAAATATAACTCCAGCGGTGCAGAAGCAGTTGAGATCCATCATGGTTTGAGATAAGAGCCGGCTGATCTCCTCCCTCTGCACAGCCTCGCCCAGAACTACACAGGGAGATAAGATGGAACTTTTGTTTGAAACCTGATGAGAACCCTCTTAATGAAAGTGCTGCGCCAAAAATAATCTTTTTTCTCCATGTTAGTCAATCAAGAAATAGTGTAGTTGGTAGGGGGGGAAAAAGGAGAAAGAAAGTAATTTTGCATAATCAGTGAGCACCATCTGGAACAATTAACCAAATTCCACAGAACTCAGAGGATCAGTCATATTGGCTTATTAAAGATCCAGAATTATACAAGTAATAAATCCATGGAAAAACGAAGCGTACCCCTGCCTGTCACGACTATTTTAACTTCAAATACAGTGGAATACTTGATAAGGCTGAAAAGAGGAGATTAATATATGCAAATTATGTCGAGCATTTAAAAGCCCCCCAACAACTGTCTCGTTTTTTTTTTCCTCTTCTTTTTTTTCCTGTCTCTTATTACAGGGCTTTATGTTTTATTCATACACCAACTCACCTGTCATTTCATAAGCTATAATATTATGAGGGTATTATTAAACAGCATAAAGTGGAGCTTTAATTGGAAAGCTCCATTGCATTTTCCAATTATTTGCAGCAAATTAAAAGCAGATGCACATAGTTTAATAAGAATTCTAATATTGTTTCCTGAAAATCAAAAATCACTGTCATCCTGCCAAGATATTTTGCAAACCCAAGTTAATTTTCAGCTCCCTATTTTTTTTCTCTCCCTCATCCTCCTCTGAAGGATGAACCTTCTTGTGTATGTTAATTGAAGTTCCCCTAATGGATAGGGAAATAATTGCTCTCCATATTATGTTAGATCAGGGCCAATGTCAGTATTTATTTTTGATTAATGCTATAGATATGTAAATGTATTACTTTTTATTACATTTACCGTTTTATCAGATGGATGCCTGCTGAATGCTATATATTGTCCAGCAGGTAATAAAGACAGACTGCGATGCAACGTGGTTTTATTTTAGAGTTTGGGGCTGCTTTTTTGTGTTTTTTTCAAAACATTTACATTTATTTATTTATTTATTTCAGACATATGCTTTTTAGACAGATAGCTCAAATGCATGTATAATTACTTTTAAAAATATCCTGATTTTCTGCCAAGGTATGAATAAAAGACCTAATTGGCAAAGGGACTTGGCATGGATCAAAGCAACGGCGGTGGAAGAAAAGGAAACGGTTTGAGCTGCAATGAAAACTTGATAACTTTTCAAATGAGCTCCAACTGTCAAGCGAAAGAGGGCTGCAAAATAAATGTGAATTAGTTTTTAATATTCTGGTAATAAATGTCAAAGCTTCTGCACATCACATCTGTACATGATGTGACTGCAGATGACAGATTTCCCAGACATGTTACCTCTCCTCCCCTCAACTCGCCTTTTTTTGTGTGTGTGTGCGCGCGCGCGCGTGTGTGTGTTGGGGTTTTTGTTTTGTTGGGAAGTGACGGAGGGTTTAATCAAGAAAGCAGGCAATTCATCAATCCTAAAGAAGGCGCCTGTACAACCCTGACAGAGCGCACATGGTTTTAGACCAACTCGAACCTGGCCAGCTGTCAGCCCACACACATGCAGGCGCGCATGCACCAGCGCACAAACACACACCGGGGCTACCGACATGCTAACAATTAACACAAATAGGCTGTCGGCTACGACCTCACACTTGGTCCGCGGGCCATCATACTGTTAATGAAGGGAAGGCGCGTCCTCTCACACTCGCAGTGTGACGCTGCGAGGCTGACGGGTACGCAGTCTCAAGTAATAAAGCGAGAAGCGTGTCAGGCTAACTCCATTATCAATTTTTCTTAAAAATCTCGCCAGCTCATAAAGAGGAGAAGGAAGGGGAGCGTGCACCTGCAAAGGACAGTTTTCTGGAGATAAATGGTGACTGCTGCCAGCACCGTGTACAGTATGTGCAGGTTCCTTCGCTGTCACTCAAAACCCCGTCCCAGCGGAGGAATCCCACACCAAACGCCACAAACTGTTCAGCTGTGTGGTAACGTCTGCTCCTTCAGGGCCTTACTTGTCCTGACCATCTAAGAAAATGACTGTCATACACGCACAATGATGTATTAATCAGTAATTTTGTCAATGATACGCTCTTTGTCTCTTCTGTATTTCTTTTCCTTTTTTTTTGTTTGTTTGAACATCACTGGATTTAAATTCAGGGTCCTTAAAAGATAAATACATTAAAAAAAAAAACTGAAATAAAATCAGTATCCTGAACTGCACATATCCACATGTCACATCATGTTTTTATATATTTAATAAGATGGGTGTAGCACGGCTATAGCCTGGGACTCTGCTGGAGCAGCAGGAGGATTCCTCACCACATGGTGTCTCTCTCCAGCTGGATAAAAACCTGCCTCATTCACCTCGTGTGGCTCACACACTCTTTTAGACTTGAACGTCTCAGCCGGCTCTGACTTGGTGGTGCTTAGGCTGTCATAGTCTAAGCTCTGTTTCCTAATGAATTAGCCTTTTTTGTGTGTGTGTGTGTGTGTGTGTGTATGTGTGTGTGTGCGCGTGTTTTAGTCACGGAGCATTGCAACTGTTGTTGAGTTTCTCCTTGACAAAGCCAAAGGAATACCTCCAGTGCATGCAAAGGTGCATATGTAAGTATGGCATGTGACGGACCGTCTTTGACAGCTGTTAAATGTTCTCTTGAGCATAATGCCGAGCTCCTCCGGGAAGCCACGTTCTCTGAGACGAGCAAAGCTCTGTCCAGCATCCAGCAGTGAGAACATCTGAGACAGAGCATTTGTAGATCAAGTGCCATCGGAGCTGCTTTTCCAAGTACAGACAGAAATTTGTGTTGTTTTTACAAACGGCAAAAACGACACAGAAAGCATTAAGCATTATATCAACTTTGACAGCAGTTTAACAGCATAGTGCATTCTGGGAAATATTCAAATATTCACTTCATGTAATTGTCTATAGTGACAGCATCATAAATAGCACTGACAAGCATATTTGTG